TTAATAAAAATAAATAAAAATATTAAAAACTTTAAAAGTTTATAAAAATAATTTAAAAAAATTGAAAAGGTTAGAAAAAAAAACATTTTCGGTTTTGGCCTGACATTTTTTTTCCATTTCGGTTTCAGTTTTGACATTTTCATTTCGGTGCACCTCCTAATAAAGACCTTATTTTATGTTAATTTTTTTGATGTTGGTAATAATTTTGCTTTACTTTAGTGTTGCCCACTCCTGATGAAGTGGTTTAACCGTGAAAACACGTTAATTGCTTATAAGACAACATACTTCTCACCCAATCCTATGGACTGAAATGATATGTACCTAAAATGGAACAAAAGCCACCAACCAAGGTTGAAGAAAGGAATAAGGGTTGTGTGCTTCTATGGATTGTGAGAAGATTGGGCTAGTAGATATATCTACATACATGTTTTTATATTTATTATATTGGTCATATCTGACTCCAAGGCTACCTTTTAAAAGTCTGATTTATTTTTATTTTCTGTTTCTTATATTCATACATACTGTATATAGATAGTATGTCATATGCATATGTTACCTGCCACACAGCATATATAATCAAATTGTACATGTGCCAGTAAATTTCCTTTATTGTTCAGGCTTAACAGGATGAAGTGGAAGGATGTTCGTGTTGGTGACATTGTCTGTGTAAACAAAGATGAATTTGTGCCGGTAAGTTTCCTATCTGTAGATTGCTGAAACTAATTTTTTTAACATTTTTAAGCACACCATTACCCACTTTCCCAAATCAGCATTGTACTAATATCAGTTGAATCATACCATGCAAATGCTAACAGAAATTTGAGAACGCTTGTCTTTGTGACTTTTGTAACTTGGGTATAATCATTTGTATGAAAGTGATTGAGTAGGTAGGGAGCAGTGTGAGGGTGGTGGGTATGTGCCAGGCAATTTGAGCTGAAGAAGGTGGGGGGCAGTAAGTTTGAGCTGAAGGAGGTGATGAGCCGTGAATTTGAACTGGAGACAGTGATGGGCAGTGAATTTGAACTTAAAGGAGAACTATGAGATGAGTGATTTCCACTCACCTCATAGTTCTAAGCCGACCTGTGACAATGAGACTGTCACAGGTCGGCTCAGTAGATCGGGAGGTGAGGGAACACATACCGGGTTCCCTCACCTCTCGATCCTGTCATGGTTCTCTGCCGTGGCAGGGGGAGGGGCTGGATTCCCCTCTCCCCGCTCCGATCTGCCAGCGCTGACAGGCGGAACGGACGGGGGAGCGGGCGGGTACAGCTGGCTCTGCCTCTAGATAGGCAGAGCCAGCTGTCACTCACGCAGCTGGGCGGATCCCGTCATCTACGTCGGGATCCGCTCCAGGTGCGGCGTCTCAGTATACCGCGAGCTGTAGCTCGCGGTATACTGAGCTTAGGGTAACGGGAGGATGCTAGTTTGTGTCCTTGGCCATGGGCAGTGATTTTGGCCATGGGCAGTGATTTTGAGCTAAATAAGGTGATGTGCAGTTGATCTGTATTTAACGAATGTGATGGATAGTGAATTTGAGCTACAAAGTTTGAATGTAAGCTGTAAAGAAATTAGATGGGCAGTGAATTTGAACTGCAGAAAGTAATTGGCAGCGAATTTGAGCTAAAGAAGGTAATGGACAGTAAATATGAGCTGAAGGAGGAGATGGGCAGTAAATATCAGCAGAAGAAAAGATGGACAGTAAGTATGAGCTGAAGAAGTTGATGGGCATTGAATTTGAGCTGAAGTGGGATGTTAGTAGTAAATTTCATTTAAAGAAGGCAATTGGCAGTTCATGTATGCTGGAAAAGGAGATGGGCAGTTAATATAGACTTAAGAAGGTGATGGGCATGTAATTTGAGTTAAAAAATGCCATGGGCAGAGAATTTGAGCTGAAGAAGGCCATGGCCAGTGAATTTGAGCTAAATAAGGCAATGGGCAGTTGATCTGAACTGAAGAATGTGCTGGGTAGTGAATTTGAGCTAAAGATGGACAATGAATTTGAGCTACATAATGTGGGCGCTGGAAAAAAAAGGTGATGGGCAGTGAATTTGGACTGCGGACAGTGGTTGGCAGTGAATTTGAGAAGGTGATGTGCGTCTCGGGTAATGCTTCATGTAATGCATCATTTAAATATGCCGTTCATTTTTAGGCACCAGTTCACAAAAAAGGATGCTGTGGATCAGGAGAGAGAGAGAGAGAGAGAGAGAGAGAGGGAGGACCTGGAGGAGCTCAGCTATGAAAAAAAGATTAACTCATCTAAATGTATTTTCCCTTGAGAAGGTGTGCCTAAATCCCTAAAAAGATTTTCAATTTCCCACCATCAATTTTCTCTTCTACAGCCTGAGTAGAAAGATCTGTCCCCTACTAGCATGCTGTAGAGAAAGACCCTTGCTCTCTATGTAGAATTGTTGGTCTCTACAGAGGTCCGACACTACTGAAAGAGGTATATAGCTCTGCAATCAGCAAAACTCATGCTCCCTGCTTGTGCTCAGTAGACATGTGCACTGCCAAAAAATTTGTTTCGTTTTAAATTCGGATTTGTGTTATTTCGTTTTTCGGGATTCGGGTGTGAGAAGTCAATTCGGATTCGGAATTCGGATTCGGACGAAATTCGGTAGCGTTCGCACGAACGTTCGTTTCGTTTTCTGTTCTTATTCGTTTCGTTCGTTTGCAGCAAAAGTGACATTTGAGGGGGAAAAAATATTTTTCTCCTTCTCTAATGTCACTTTGCTCCAACGAACGAAACGAATAAGAAACTAATACGAACAGAAAACGAAACGAACGTTCGTGCGAACGCTACCGAATTTCGGAAATGGAAATTCGGATTCGTTTGCATTCGTTATGTCTGTAATTCGGAATTCGGATACATCCGAATGTCCGAATTTACGAAAATTCGTCCGAATTTCGATTCGGAACGAAACGAATCGCACATGTCTAGTGCTCAGCAGGGGGCATGCTGGACGTCCTCGAAGAGATCACTGTTTCCCTTCGGAGTGAAATTAGTGCATGCATGCACTCGGCATGAAAATATATATGGTGTTTGGTTTACTTTATTTGGTATAGGTAGAGAAAAGATCTGAATGACTTATTGTTGTGTGTGGGTTTTTTTTTTTTTTTTAAGCACAGAGCCAGAGAGCTTGTGCTACATAGAAACAGCCGGCATTGATGGGTAACGTATAACACTTTGTTTTTTGTTTTAAAGTGAATGAAACCTCAACAATGAACTTCTCTTAGTTAGTCTCTTTTGGGCTTTTTAGTTTAATTACATAATTAAAACTAGTTTCAGGGAGACACCCATAATAGGTTTTTCTGGCTCATAAATGTAATCACATGCATGTAGTGGCATCTACACTAAGACGAGACTTTACTTTAAAAGGTTTCAAATGGCCATATGATCTTGATTAGGGAACGTGGTTTTGTTGATCCTTTGTGATAGAAAAAAGGATACTGTATTGTAACTGCCATGCGTTCGTACCTAATAAACTTTAATAGGCATTTTATTAAGTTGCCATGTTTTCCCTATTTCTCGGATCACTACACGTTATATTTATATCATTGGTACCTTACTTTTTATAAACTTTTTTTTCTGTGTTCCAGAGAGACTAACCTTAAATTCCGCCAGGCTTTGACAGTCACACACTCCAGCCTAAACACGTTAGAAGCACTGGCAGCATTTGATGGTAATATTCAAACTGGGTTGACGGTCATATTCAAACTGGGTTGATGGTAATATTCAAATTGGGTTGATGGGTAATATTCACATTGGGTTGATGGTAATATTCACATTGGCTTGATGGTAATATTCACATTGGCTTGATGGGTAATATTCACATTGGGTTAATTGTGATATTCACATTGGGTTGATGGTAATATTCACATTGGGTTGATGGTAATATTCACATTGGGTTGATTGGTAATATTCACATTGGGTTGATTGGTAATATTCACATTGGGTTGATTGGTAATATTCACATTGGGTTGATTGGTAATATTCACATTGGTAATATTCACATTGGTAATATTCACATTGGTAATATTCACATTGGTAATATTCACATTGGGTTGATTGGTAATATTCACATTGGGTTGATTGTGATATTCACATTGGGTTGATTGTGATATTCACATTGGGTTGATTGTGATATTCACATTGGGTTGATGGTGAGATTTACGTTGGGTTGATGGTGAGATTTACGTTGGGTTGATGGTGAGATTTACGTTGGGTTGATGGTGAGATTTACGTTGGGTTGATGGTGAGATTTACGTTGGGTTGATGGTGAGATTCACGTTGGGTTGATGGTGAGATTCACGTTGGGTTGATGGTGAGATTCACGTTGGGTTGATGGTGATACTAACATTGTAATGTCAGCAGCCCCAGCAGACTCAAGTGACACTCTGTAGTAGTCCCTTTTGCTCCTCCTGCCACTGCTACATGAAAGGTTACTTAAGGCGGTGAGGGGAAGGGTAGAGGAGCAGGGCCAGTAGCGACTCTTAGAAAATTTGCTAGCAAGTTTAGAGGGACATTACAAGTCGGTAAAAAAAATGTTTAAAGGAAAAACTATTCAAGTGAGCATTTGAAATGCTCGGTTTATGTGCTCCTACCTGCAATTTTTCAAGTTGGTGGAAGCTCTCAGAAATATATAATACTTTTATGGCATTTATTCCCATATTAACACTGTGACACCCAATGTTTACCAATTTGAACAGCCCTGGGATGTCCAGTGCCATGCTTTTAAATACAAAGGACAATTAGGGCAGCAAAAAATGTGTGACAAAGAAGATATAGACCATATATAAGAAACCTTAAGAAATTCTATTAATATATAAATAGTTAAAGAGTAAGGACAGAACACATAGGCCCCATGATGGATGAACAGGGAAGGCTGGTTACAAGTGACAGGGAGAAAGAAGAGGTATTGAACACTTTTTTTTTCTCTTCTGTTTATACAGATAGGAAAAGAAATATACTGTATAATGAACAATGTAAAAATCCCCAGGCCCAGATTACTTACATCCATGAGTCCTCAATGAACTTAGCCCGTTTAGAGCCAGGCCATTAGTTCCTAATTTTTAAGGACACTTTTACAACTGGAATTACAAAGGAAGAAACCAATTCCGAAGTTTGCTCTGGTGATCTATAAAAGTATTTTACTGTAGTTACTGCTATAATGTTTAATGAGATTATCTTTTTAGCCTTAATAAAGGATATTGTTACAGGCCTGGTGACATGTGAAGCTCCAAATGCCCAGATATACAGTTTTGTGGGAGTCTTGGAATGGAAAGGCCAAAAATATGCATTAAATAGTGAAAACCTTCTACTAAGGGACTGCAGGATCCGCAATACCACGTGCTGCTATGGACTGGTCCTCTATGCAGGTTTGTACTTATTTATTTATTATAGAATCACAACCTAGTTCCCTGGTGCCCAACCTGTGGCCCTTTGGAACTTTTTGTGCAGCCCCCTGATCCTATTGCACTGTAATAGCAGTGATCTCTAGAATTCTCATGTAAAGTGTCTCCAGTCTATGATGGTCTCCTAAAGCATGTCTCCAGTCTTTAAAAACTCCTATACAATGTTAATACTCTCTGATCATCTCTTGCAACTTGTATGCAATCTCAGACCCAGTGGCGTAACAATCACCGTAGCGACCCAGGTGTCCGCTATGGGGCCCGGGGCACATGGGGGCCCAGCCAGGACATTCCTGATGCCCTGCGGGCCGCCTGGGTTACTGTGGCATCTCACGCTGCTGGCTGTCACTGGCGGCTGTGAAGAAAAATCTGCCGCTGTTCAGATCACTGAGAGTGATCTGTGCAGCGGTGCGTTCCTCTCCACAGCCGCTGCTGAGTCAGCGAGAGCCAGCAGCGGCGGTGGAGCAGGCTGGAGCCGTCAGTGGAGGAGGAGGCGGGGCCCGGGTTGGCATCAGGAGGAGGCGGGGCCCGGTGATGGGGGGGCGGCATTGGATGGAGGAGGCGGGGCTCATCACCAACGGTGGGCGGAAGAGGAGGCGGACAGATAAGGAGTGTGACCAGCCCACCTGAGGGTGACCCTGCAGAGCCCACCTTTAGAGAGTATATGGTGGGCTCTGCAGGGTCACCCTCAGGTGTGCCTATGTGGGATCTCTGCAAGGGGTGTAACTAGAGATCAAAGGGGCCCCATACAAAATTTTGCTATGGTGCCCCTTGTGATTTCTAGTTAAGGCCCTGCTCAGACCATCTCTTGTAGCATGTCCAAGGGGTAGCCACTACATTCTGTAAGGTAAATGCATGGGTGCTCATCCACAAAGATCCATACAAATCCAAAATAGGTTTAGAGGCACTCATTGGCGTCAAAGCGATGTAATTTAATTGCCACTGTTTTGACAGAGGCTCAGTCAAGACAATCTTTTACAATGTCTGTAGTCTTTGACCATCTCTTGGCACGTCTTCAGCCTCTGACAGCTTTCATTGGCATTACATTAACGGAATTTTATGTGCAACCCTTTGGTTCATTCGGAAGGCTAACTTGAGACCCCTATATTAGAAGTTGACCATTAACGATTTAGTTTAATCACCCCTGGAAACAAAAAGTTGTAATGTAAACCTTTAGCAGTGTAAACCTGATAGAAGACAGCTGTCTGACTGGACCTGACACCTCTGAAATAAGCAGGGTGTTTCCCTTCCTTGCAGATTGATGATTAAAGTTACATTAAACCCTCAGATTTTTTAACATAAAACAATACTGTAATGTGTGCCTTACTGTAATCCATGGTAGTTTCACTTCTCTTTGCTGCTCTTCCTTTTTAAATCCTCATGTCTTCTCATGCTTGGGGAGAACATCCCTTTGCAGCTGACTGCCTCTTCCTGTAGTGCTGCTCAGGTTACAAACCAATACACAGACACCATATATACATTCCTGAGACAAGGCACTCTGCTGCAAAACAGAAGTTCTGCCCAACATGAGAAGAGATACAGATTTAAAAGGAAGAGCAGCAAAGAGAAGGGAAACAACCATGGATTACAGTAAGGCGCACATTACAGTATTGGTTTATGTTAAACAATCTGAGGGTTTAATGTCACTTTAAGAAAACAGGTAAATAGGCTTATACTTCTTTTTCCAATATTGTTGTTGGATTTTAATTTTGGTCGCCATACACAGTTAACCTAGTTGACCACAGTCTCTCTGAGAGGAAAGAAAAAAAGAGAACATCTCTTGCATGAGTCACTGGATTCAAAGTCTTAAAACTACAGCAGGGGAACATAAATTCTCAGTTATGCAACTATCACAATGGCTTACTACATTTACCCAGGTTTCTGGGGCACGCCCCCTTCATCAGAACCAAACTGCTGGGCTCTTTTTGGATTTGAAGGCGCCGGTATTGTTTTGCACTTTCATGCCCACTGAGAAGGATAGGCCTCACCCAAGCAGTTGTTGCCCACAGCCCTCACCCCATAGTTGGCAGGCAGCAAGCAGTGTCCATAAAAAAGATTTAGTTAGTCCTTGGCTGTTCTATAAGACCCGGACATTACATTGTGCATTCCTTTGCAGCTCATGTTACATACTATCTGGGGGAATAACTCTCATCTCCCTACAGCTAATACTTTTGGTCTTATGGGAAATAACATATTCTTTTTGATCTTTGAAAAATGGCAAACAATTGCACAGTGTGGAGCCCAGTTTGTAAAGACCTCCACTTCCCTGCTGGTGACAGTTGATTAACTTTACCTAAACACAAGTCTACAAGATCCAGTAGGAGGTTCGTTAGAAGCTATGGGTTAATTCCTTCGCTCTCCAGGCCAAAGTCATCTATTCAAATTTTAATTGTGAACATTTATCTAAGCTACTGACCACTGAAATTCAAATATTTTAAAGTCACAGTTTGGCATTGTGCTTTATTGTATACAATTTTCCTAAGCAAATATTTTTTGGGACTCTGTTTCAATATTTTTACATGGAGATCCTGCCAGTAAAAACACTTCCTGTTGCATGCTGGTAACACTGAGCCACTTCCTAACAATTAGTAGTAGTGTTGTCAGCTTGCCCTTTAGTTGGCCATGGGCTGCCTATCAGGTCTATGAGATAGCCCGATGGTCAACTGAAGGAACTGGTATGGCAGGCTGACCACACCGCTGCTAATTACCAGACAGTGGTTTAGCATTATCAGCTTGCAACAGGACGTGTTGTTACTGGCATGACCTTCTGGTAAGAAACTTTTGAAACACATTTACAAAAACACTTACAAAAAAGTTTACAAAAAAAATAAATCTATTTGCTTAAGAAAATGGTATACAGGAAGGCATGATGTCAAACATAATGAAAAATTGATTTAGGGTTGACGTACTTTGAGGTGCTGGAAAAAAGTAAACCCAATTGACCGACAAAGTAGCAACTGCTTAGTGCTTCCATCAGCCAGAATTTATAACTCATCATTGACATTGTTTAAGCATTGAGTGGACTGATCAGTTAACAGATGCACCACCCTTGAGCACTCAATTCAAGGGCAGGGTTTTTTTCTCACACTTTAGATATAATGCCCTCAAGGCCACTGGACATTAAAACTCGTATGACTCAGTGATAAAGCTTGCTGAGCTGTCACCAACTGGTGGTGGGAGGCCAGTGAGATTGGCCGGGACAGACATGCAAAGCATATTTTGGTTAGAGAAGCATCTTGATGTTGGAAGTACTGAAGTCCTGATCTGTGTTTAATGCACACTACAGCTTGTGTTTACTGTGGACAGCCAGCCCCGCCCCTCTGCATTATTTTTGCTATGACTTATTCTGTATTGCAAACTTTTACTGTACTGGAATTTTCATCAATAATTTTTTTTTTCAGGATTTGACACAAAAATCATGAAGAATTCTGGTAAAATATTTTTAAAGTGGACAAAAATGGACTACCTGATCAACAAAACTGTTCTCTGTGTAAGTTCTCATGAAAACAGGGTTGTGGGAGTGGGTGGTGGCCTGAGGGTGGATGCTGGACTGAGGGTAGGTGGTGGCTTGAAGAGTAACCTTAGCTCCATCTCCCAGATCTAGAGGTCTGTTAATCTAAGTATGCTGCCAATGCTCATCTTTTTCTAGATCTTGTGGGAGCCACTGATGGTCCTCTGGCCTCTGTGTCAGAAGATTCCACACAGAGCTCTAAGTGGAAATCCCTGTGACACACAGAGAAGCAGCACCACTGCAAGATCTGGAGTTAGGCGCTGAAAGTGTGTTTCAAGACAAAACCTTTTTTGAATAGAGTGGGGAAGCTTTAGTGAGATCTCACCTAACTTCCTGTCCTTCTGACAACAGGGGCTGACAAAGCTCCAAGCACATGGCAACTTACTAGCAAGAAGTGAGATCCTTGTTTAGAGGAGGAGGAATGGGGACAGAGCTTACTTTGGAAGGGTAATACAGGACTGTGAACCAGTTACCACAGCCAGCTATTAAACTAGACATTACTAGAGGGAAACTTACCCAAATCTAGCTGTCTTGACACACACAGGCAGATACTAATAGTACAGTCTGGTGCACCTTGAGGGTAGTGAAGCAGCTAAGTGATTCCTAAGCAATTGTGAGATCCCCCAAGCTATCCTGAGACGTAGAATCCTGGTGTGATTACCTTTCCCACTGCCCTCACACACCAGACACCATGATTTAGGATACCTTATCACCACTTGCAGTTTGTTAGCGGTCTGGTCTGTTAGGCAACCATACGATGGTTTCCACACACTAGCACTAATCTGCGTGCAATTCACAGCAATGCAATGCTATTTCATATAGAGTAACTAACTAATGGCAGACAACAAGCATAAAGGCACTAGTAATATAATGCATCTCTCTAGGGGTATACATTATTAGTTAGTCCTCTTAGGGTACACTTTAAAATGTAATACCCCTAGCCAGACAGTGTATACAAATATGTATACATATAAATATAAATATATCTATAGATATATCTATATATCTATAGATATAAAAGAATTGATGGGACAGACTCTAAGCCTTGGTCAATCACCTTTTTGGAGGTGTTGCCTCTCCTGGTGTGAACAGAGTTCTTGCCTCCTAAAGTGGCCGTAGGTTATATGGACCTGCAGGTTCTTATGGCTGTGCCTGGATTAGGATTTCCAATGTCAATTTGATTGTATTGAGTCCTAACGCCACATGACCACTGTGAGCAGGTACCATATAAGAGTTTCGTCAGCCCCAGGTTGTTCTATAATGATGTTTTTATGATTAATAATTGACATGTGCCTCTTGGAAACCCCAAGTATTTGGAACATGTGCGTAATTAGTTAATAATGTAGGGGGTTGAGGCACTGGGACTATCTGTCTGAGGGACTATGAAGGCATTGTTGGCTAAGCTTAGGGAAGTGGCCTGTACTGAATGCAACCCTCCAGGGTTTCTTTCTACACAAAAACGTTAGTCCCAGCTGCACTTAGATGTGCTCTACATTGGGTTGAGTGGACAGCCTACACCTTAAAGAAAAATGTAGCTTTCCTTGTAACCAGGGAAAATGGAAATACACCCTTCGTAGGTGCAAGCAACATAACCTCAACCATGCTTATACAGACAAAAAGGAAAGTGATGTCACTTGTTTCTGGTAGACAACAGGGGCAAGGGCATTTACATGATGTATGCTGGAAGTACACTATTACTTTTAGGCTTATATCTGTATTGCTTGAGAGCTTGTTCTTAGCAGCTTCAAGGACCTGCCTAAGTATCCTTAGATGTAATGAGATTTCCCACAGCCTTGTAAGTGCCTGACACTGACGCTGACAGAACCTGACAGAACAGTTAAAGATGCAAACAGAATCCAGCCATCTTAAGATCTCTTTTTGCAAAGCTTCATCCATCCTTAACAAGGATGTATTGGTCACACAAGCTTTCCTATCTAGGTTATAGGAGAAGGGAGTGTATACTCTGTAGTTCTGCAGCCTGCTTATATTGGTTAAAACTATAGGGATCATGATTGCTTTCTCTGTTGATGGCTTTTGGCTGCTGCCCATAAACATGAGGTCATCTTCCAATCCAACCAATGAAGGTCAGATTAGGAGATTTATCTAAAATCTATGGACACCGTTCAATGGCAACAAAAAGGACAATGGCGTCTTCCAACCAACTAACCAATCCTTGCTCAATACATAAGCAGTACGGACACCCTTTCAATGGAATAGCCTGATCCAAACATTAGTTGTTCAACTGTGTCACACTCTAACTTTTTATATTTCTCATGGACTCGGGAGCCAAGGTCTCTGCGTCTATTACCCTAATATGCTCATGACATTTAATTGATGTCTCACTATTCCTTAAAATGTATGTATTGCTAAAACCATTTTTAGATAGCATGGGGATGGGTTAGACCCAGATACCCAGATTTGTATTGTTCTATGTGCCACTATTGGGTTGATTGATCCCCGTAAGGTGACCATTGTCTCCAAGGCAGAAAGTGAGGGGAAATTAGATTTTTTAGAGTTGTCACCAGAACAGGTGAGGAGAAATCTTCCAATGGTGACAAATTCAGTGAAACTGTCTACTGTGACTTTGTCTCCATGACAGGAAGTGATGGGGAATCTTGCCAATGGGATAGACCAAGCACAAAATGCACCGAAAAGGATTCTTCACCTTTCCTAATCTATCTAAAACTATGACAAAAATGGCCATATACTGTATACACTTTAAATTTTCTCTTATGGAGAATTCGGTAGGTGGAGTAAAAGTTAGAGGTTCAGCAAGCAATTGCAACAGAGTCTTGTTGCTTGAATCTTCTGTTATCTTCATAAATAGCTCAAGCCACCAGTTTGGTGGACTTAGCTTTAAACCTGAACTCCAGAAAGATTTTAAAACCCACAAATTCTTCTATGTATGTGTTCATAAAGTGTGTTTTTAAAATCAACCAGTAGAAGTACCTGAATCTGGCTCATCAATGTCTTGCAATTCTCTATACAGGAGAGTTCAGACTGGGAGAGGGAAAAGGAGCCAATCAGTTGTCCTACAATGCTTGTGCACTAACAAGGAGCATGCTGATAAAGGGAAAGAGCAGAGTGGCAAAGAGATGAGCTTACCAATCTGCTGCTTCTCCTTCACTGTCCAATCATGGGATGGGGGCGGGACAAGACCTGTAAGTGTTACAAAGTGGATCTGTGTACAGGCTATGGACATTAAAGTACAGTATATACATATTCTTTGTGAGCAGTAAAAAGCTTTACAACAAGCCACCGTGACCTCTCTATCAGCCTGTACTATGAAATGATTAATTCACAAAGAACCTCTGATCACAGCAGGAACTCTAAGCTTTGGTTCGCACCTGTGCGCGTGTTACAGCATACGCACAGGTATGTATGTCTTGCACACGCTAACCTGCAGTGCGCTTGGAAACTCCTGCAGTGTGTGTTTTACATTAAAGGGCTGGTAGGCTTGCCAAGAGTCTGTTGTATCAGAAAGTAATAGGAAAGACCTAAGATTTTTTTGTCTATGTTGTGACCTTTAAAGACTGATTACTCCACAATGCCTATAGCTAGAGATATGAATGAGTGCTTGTCCAGAAAAAGTAAACAGTTTAGTGTGCAAAGTTTGGGCACAGACTCTCTTTAACTGCAGCAGAGAAAAATCAGGTCTCCCCCTCACCTACTAATCAGGGATGTGCTGTGTAGCAGAGCTGTGTAAATTCAGGACGGGCTGGACATATATACAAATCCTTTGGCAGGTAAAATAGATTTCTTATATGCATTTCATCTGTGTATTTAACTGTTTGATTTGAGTTCAGCTGTAAAGTGAATCCATTTTTTGAATGAACTGCTTTTTGTGTGGTTTACAGATTGCGGTGTTTGTGATCAGTATATCTTTTGTCTTGGGTATTGGAGCTGGAATTTGGGACAGCTTGTACCTACAGAAGCATTACTATATACCAAGACACCCACAGTACTCATCCGCTACTTTTGGAGCTCTTGTATTCATGGGATACCTTGCCACCATTGCCACCCTTGTGCCCTTCTTCCTTTACATTTCGTGAGTAGAACTAGGATTAGTCCATTATTCTGCACAATGTTAATTTATTAGTACTCGTATTTTTAAAGGGCCAGCAAACCTTGGGCTTTACCAGAAAGCAAAGGCAATAACTGGTATAGTCCACCTTTTTATGATATTTTAAAATGAAAGTGGGGACAAGCTGAAATTTTCATTTATAATGCGCCATTTAGACATATAGGCTGCAGAAAAATTCAGTTAGGATATTTCGCTATTTCGGAATTCATGATTTAATCCGAATTTTGTTAGTGTTGGATGAGTTTACGAGCGTATATTCCTTACAACTACCACATACAACTATATACAGATTTTAACACTTAAGCTGGCCATAAACCTTACAACAATCGCACGACTTTCGTTGTGAGATGGTTGTAAGGTAATTAAAATCTCGTACGATCTGCCCATCTTGGATGGGCAGATCGTACTTGGGATCATCGCAAGCCCTCCCCGCTGAGGGGAGGGCTTCCGATGATTCCAATGCTGAGCGGGCAGTGTGCTCTTACGCACAACGGCCCGTTCGGCATTTGTCTTCCGAGCACTCCACTAACCCGCCGACAATCGTACGATTTTCGGCAGGTTTTCGAAAAATGGTCTTATAGAAACGGTCGCACGCCTTCCATACACCTGCCTATTAATTGTGCGATCGCAGGATCACCCGCGATTATCGTACAATAATCGGCAGGTTTATGGGCACCTTAAAGCTGAATCTTCTACACCCGAATGGCATTCGGGATCCGAATTTCCGAATTGGATTCGGGAGCTCCCATATGCCATTTGGGTCTGGGAGCCTCCGCTTTAGTTATATATGTATGTGTAGATATCTCCACACACAGTATATAGTGTGTATATAATATATATATATATATATAATATATATATATATATATTATACACCCACCACACACACATATATTGATCCTTCTAAAAACCAAACGAGTGGATAACTTGCTGTATTTTCTGTTGACTGACTGTTATTGGTTAGAATTGTTCTCGGCTATCTTTGTTACTACAAAACACCTCTCTCCTATGTTAGTAGATAAGGAGACAGGGAAGTGTCTGTAGTCCACTCCTAGGGTGACAACTGTCAAGTACAGTGAATAAGCGTTGTCACCCTAAGATATGAAGTGGCAGGATCAACAGGTAAAAGTAGAACTGAACCCAAAACTTTTTGTTTTTTAGTTTTGGATAGAGTAAGGGAGGGTTAGAACGACCGCTATCTGTGTCCCATTGGGGAATTACCCTTCACTTCCTGTCCAATAGTCACAAGAGGAAGTGGGACAAAATCCCTCCAAAGAGGGAAATCCCCAATGGTCAGCAGGGTCATGTCCCATTGGCAGATTTCCCATCTATTCCTGTTCTGTGACAACTCAAACAGTTTCCAGTTTCAGTGATAACAATCACCCGGCCAAATAGAGAGGTGGAATCTCCCACAGACAGCAATTAATACCTAACAGGTGTTCCAATCCCTTTAAACGCTATCCCCAAAAAAGTTTTGAATTCAGTTGTACTGAAAACGACTGAAAAATAAAACGAATGTAGCCACCACATCTAAGGGCTGGTAAGCTGCAGTGTATACTGTGTATAGGAGGAGGCTATCCCCAGGGGTATCCTGAGGCCGGGTGTCACCCGGAGCGTAGAAAAGGGTGAAACCCACCCTGACGTCATCACACATGCGCGTTGCGTCGACGTGCGCATGCCTAGTCATCTTATTGATGCCTGCCGGCAGCCATCATAAGGAGGATGTTCACCCCGGCGGGATAAGGTATGCCGCCGGGTCCCCTCCTCTCTCCTGACACTGTCAGGCTCTCTCTTGAACAAATAACCCCCTGTACAAGAGCAGATATGCCCCCCTTTTAACTAATGTCCAAGTACAATAACTACATTTTTAAACAATACCCAAGCCATTTCACCCTGCAAATATTTGTGACTATTCATTTTGGGCGAATAATCCAAAAATGAAGGTTCTTCATCTAAGAACATTTGTTTTTGCCATTTTTCACTCCAAACAAACATTCGCAGGGCTTGTGAGTGGTTTATAAATAGACCTCTTAAACACTGTGAATGGATGGGTAGAGGCAGGGGTGTAACTAAAAATCACAGGGACCCATAGCAAAATTTTGTATGGGGCCCTGTGATTTCTAGTTATACCCCTTGCAGGGTCCCCCTCAGGTGGACTGGTCGCTGATGGGCCCCGCCTCCTCCTCCGTCGCCGGGCCCGCCTCCTTCTCAGTCACCGGGCCCCGCCTCCTCCTCTGCTGTCGACCATGGGCCCGCCTCCTCCACCACCGCTGCTGGCTCTCATTGACTCAGCAGCGGCTCTGGAGACTAACGCACTGCTGCACAGATTACGGTCAGTGATCTGAACAGCAGCGCATTCTTCAGAGCTGCAGGTGAAACCAGCAGAGGATGCCATAGCGACCCAGGCGGTCCGCTCAGCATCTGGCCGGGCCCCACTGTGCCCCGGGCCCCATAGCGGCCTCCTGGGTCGCTATGGCGATTGTTACGCCACTGGGTAGAGGATATGTGCAGATGAAGAGTAGCTTTTGTGATGCCCTTAATTCTTCCTTTGCTTTCAAATTTCATCAAGAGGAAATGGGAAAAGCATTCAACATGTCTCTGCTTGACAGCCAGGGAATGCACTTGGATATTACATGATGCATATTTATGGCATCATTAGGGAAGTCTCTCGCTTCTTCTCTCACCTGACATTAATGTATGTAACAGGAGCTGCCCCAGCACCTGCCCAACCCACATCTAGTATAAATGGCCCCTAAGTCCCAGAAGGCCCTGGCGATGGCTAGTGGGCGATTCAGCTCCCAACCCTTTATGCAAAACTGAGAAATCTGTTTCAAATGGACTGACCCTTCAAACTTCAAAAATATACTCATAGAAAAATACTAATATTTACAAGAAGGCTGATGTCTCCTAAAATGGCTATCTAAAGTCCTGGTCCTGCTTTGTATGTGATGTCAGTAAAAGGGGCAGTGACACGTCCCCTAAGAGACTGAAGAAGAGTGGCCTGGTTGGGCCTATCATCACTATCAGAATCTATATGCAGGACCATGAAATAAAGTACATTTTTGTCTTAGATCATGACAAAGTTAGCAATATATTCTACATATTGCATAGTGTGGGGAAGGGCAAGCAACAGATTTGTATTGCGGTCTGTTATTTGCCCTCTTTTTACCTTAGTGACCGTTGTCACTAGGACTGAAAGTGAGGAAAAATGCAAACTATTAAGTTGTGAACTTGTGACCAAAACCGGAATATAGGAAAAGTGTTCCTATGGGGAGGTTTCCCCTCACTATGTAGGACTTCCTTCTCGTGCATTATGTCAACAGAATTGGGAGTAAAAGGAAATTTCCCCAATGGGTCACGGACAGCAAAAAAAAAAAGACTTTACTGCTCTATCCAAAAACGGAAAACCTTTTTTGGGCTTTAGATATACTTTATTACATAAGCAGAGGTATTATCATGGACTATTACAGTACGTCCTATATTGTAGGCCCTCACCCATCCTATAAAAAAAAAAATACTTACCTTAGATACTGGCTTCTGGCTGATTTGCCTAGGCAAAGGGCAAGAGTGATGTTACTGAGCCTTCTTGTGGGATGCTGGGGATAACAAATCTTGCAAGTAGGTGCTCCAGTGTGTGGTCCTCGGCTTTCCCAGAATCCCACAAGAAGGCTCACTCACCATACTGTTTCTATGGAGAAGCAGTGTTGTCACCTAGGACAGGACGTGTGTGAGTATTACCTCCTCCTCTTCATAACATAGGGGGGTGTTCTTTAATTCCCAGATAGCCAGGAGCAAGTCTAACTGATAAGAGAGCACACCCACAAGATTTCTGGTAGGATCAACAGGTATTTTTTGCGTTCAGATATAACAAAATTGGACTTGGAATTTACATACGCTTTAATTAGACATTTTTAAACATATATTTTATTGCTTACTATATGATTGCTTACTACCTTAACATTTTAAAGTGAACTTCTTTAGTCTGGCATCAAGGACAAGCTGACTTTTTCATTCATAGACTGGAAGTCCTTCACATTCTCCACAACTTTTTTATTATCAATGACCTGGAAATGTACCATGAGGAAACAGATACACCAGCTCAAGCCAGAGGTAGCAGCTTCTGCGATATGCTGGGACAGATTGAATACCTTTTTACGGACAAGACCGGTACGCTCACTCAAAACATCATGACGTTTAAGAAATGCTGCATTGGGCAAAGGATTTTTGGTAAGTTTTTGCGCAATTCAAACTGGATCAGATTTCCTGCGAATAGCAAACCGCAAAGTTGTGAATTTCATTGCATTGCCCCATATAGATATAGGGTCCGGTAGTTTCTGGTGATGCAGCTTCCAGGAGTGGGGCAGGGTTTCAGTACCTGATCCTCTGTGGGAATATAAGTGCCTGGGGAGGAGTCAAAGAAAGAGGTTTTTTTTTTTTCTTTCTTTTTGAGTGGACTTTGTAATTCAGTCAGTTGAGAAGGTGACAGGTATTTGCCCTAGTGGGAAATTAGGGCCCCATCTGACCATAGACTCTCTACGGTGGGCTCTGCCGGGTCACCCTCAGGTGGGCTGGTCACACTCCTTACCTGTCCGCCTCTTCTTCCTCTGTCTTCGCCCTCCTCAGTCGCCGGGCCCGCCCCCTCCTCCGTCGCCGGGCCTGCCTCATTCTCTGTTGCTGACCCCCGGGCCCTGCCTCCTCCTCCACCTACCGGCCGGGTCCAGCCTCCTCCAACGCCGGCCGCTGTTGGCTCTCATTGACTCAGCAGAGGTTGTGGAGAAGAACGCAGCGCTACACACATCACTGACAGTGATCTGAACAGCTGCGTGTTCAAAGCCATAGCGACCCAGGCGGCACGCACGGCATCAAGGGGGGTGCCTTGGCCCGGGCCCCCCTGTGCCCCGGGCCCCATAGCGGCTGCCTGGGTTGCTATGGTGATTGTTACGCCACTGAGTCCAGTAAATTGTCAGAACAACATACACTCTTTGAGCAATTTATTATCAACACTATAGTAATACTTGGTAGGGCCTCCTTTGCCCTCCAAAACAGCCTTAGTTCTTCTTCAGGGCATGGATTTCACATTCCACAAACATTTATTTGAGATCCTAGTTCATGTTAACATGGTTTGATCATTCAACTTCTGCAGCTTTGTTAGCTGCAAATTCGTGCTGTGAATCTCCCATTCTAGCCCATCCCAAGGGAGTTCTATTAAATTTAGGTCCAATGTCCCCATAGCATATGTGTTCCTCAGCAGAAGTCAAGATTATCAATCCAGGCTTTTTATGTCCAGTTTTGGAGAGCTTGTGCATACTGCATCCTCAGCTTTCTGTTCTTGGCCTACAGGAGTGGAACTTCTCAAGGTTCTATGTATTGTCCATTCTGAGATGATTTTCTGCTCACCAGAGTTTAAACAGTGGTTATCTACGTTACTGAAGCTTTTTTAGGCAGCTCAAACCCATCTTGCCATTCTCCTCTGACCTCTCCCATCAAAAAGTGGTTTCCATCTGCAGAACTTCCACTTGCTGGATATTTTTTGTTTTTTTGCGCCATTCTGATTAAGAGTCTAGAGACTGTTGTGTGTGAAAATCCCAAGAGAACAGAAGTTATAGAAATAATCAAAATGCCCATCTGGCACCAAAGTCGAGACCAGCCGAGGCTATGTAATTTTTGCTTAGTTGTGGAATGAGGAAGTGGGAGCAAGTACAGGTAGACAGAGATACTTGTTCCTCTGCCCTTCCCCACAAAAATTGTTTGCAAATGTGCAGCAGGTTGGGGGAGGATTAGAACAAAGCCATATTTAAATTTTGAGTAAAGATCTGCTTTAATCCTTGTCTATATTTTGTATTTAAGGTATCTTGTCAAGTGACGAACAGCAACATAAGGTACTATATAGCATCAACTGTAAATTAAATCTGAACCGTTAGCAAAAAATTTTTCCATGTTGATAAAATGCAGAAGGATAAGAACCTCTGTACATTTTGCAAAGCTGTGTCCACATTTGGGAGATTTCTTTCTACTTTCTATTTGAAGAGTGTCATGTAGAATAGGAAGTGAGGAGAAATTTCCCAAATGTTCTAGACTACAGAAAACAATCCCCCAAGAGATGAGGAAAGAGGAGGTGTACTATAGTCCAGCAGAGGAAGAACAAGGCTGACAACATTGCTTGCAAATTTGGTGCAGGAAGTTAGGAGCTCACTGGATTTTCTATGTACTTGCAGTGTTTTCTAAGAGACACATGTGGAAATGTGCATGCATAGTAGAGCTGCACTAAGATAGATAGATATAGGATGTGGCAATGCCACAATGGAATTTGGCAACACAGTCCCCAAGAACACTCAGTTAGAAGGGCTGAGAGGTTCCAGCATGTGAATACTTTTCCAGGGAAGAAAGTGGCTTTTCAGTTTCTCTCAGGTTTTCTGGACTATAGTGGGATGGAATCTCTATACCTGAGGCCAGGTGTTGCCAATGACCAGTCCAGGAGGGTCAGGTGGCTGAGAGCAGCCTTATTAGGAGTCTGGACCAGAGCTCGGAGGGGAGCTGTATGTGTGCAGGAGGCACATGGCCACAAGCAGACTTGGGTGCGTGCTGGACGCACGTGGAACAGCCAGGGGAGGCTGGGAGAGGTCGGGAAGTTCCCAAGGGACCTGTTGGGCACACTGCTGGGAGAGTAGTGTGAGTATCACACAGAGGTGTGATGAGAGACTTGGAGCTGAGGAAAGCTACTGAGCAATACTGAGGACTGGGGAGGCGGATTATTATAAGAAGTGCATGAAATGTTGGCCTTTGTGTGAACAAAAAACTATCCTTTATGTTGCTGCTGGAAGCTGTCTTGTTTAACAGGGGAGGTCTACCCTGTTAATGGAAAGATACTTTTTGTGTTTGCCTTAATAAACTGCGTTTTACTTGACTACAGTTGAGTGTCCTTCTTACAAGATATATATATATATCTATTAGATATCTCCACACACAGTATATAGTGTATATATGTGCATATATTCTCCCTCATAGTTTAAATGGTCTTCAGGATCAACAGAGGGGTAAATCTCCCCAACTGGAACACAGACAGCGGTAAAAAACTTTAAAAGGGTCTAATTCTTCCACATTTTTTCCAATGATAATGTCAGTGCCACTTTCTACACCAGTACACAGTGAATGAAGGGCATTGTGGTAACCTTCCCCCATGACACCCTGCACTCACAGTATGGCCTTAGTCTTCTAGACTGAGCTACACTGCCAAAAAAAATACTGCTGTGGACATTTCTGGATGACAGGTAAGTCTTGAAGTCAGAGGTTTTTTTTTTTTTTTTTAATGCCTTTTTAAAAAAAAAAAAAAAAA